CGCCCCCACGGCTGAAAGAGCGAGCATGTTTGGTGTGACAGGGCCACGTTTCTAGAACTATCCTGTACTTTGGCGAATGCTCTAGTATTTACTAGATATAGGGTAGTCGGGTATATATAAGAGGAGGACAACGTGACGTGGTAATGTGTGTATAGACAGTGAGTAATTGAACTGCAGTCAGAGAGCACGAGAGACGTTACAGCGTTTGTTTAGCGCGATTGTTGAAGTTGAGTGTATCGGTAAAGTTGTATTCGGAAAGAATAAACCAGTTTTATTAAGTAAAGAACTTGTGTCGCTAAAGTTTTGTCGGAACGAAGTTACGGAAAGTTAATTAACAAACGGAGACGTAACAGTATTTTAACTTGCATAACATGACATCTTGTTAAAATGATAGGTAAATATAGTTTTCAGATAAAAATAGGAGACTTAGAGATAGAACACTCATTTTAAACCTGTAAACAGATAGATTTAGAAACAGATGGTATTATGAGTCAGGATTTCTTAAAGACTTACAACACTGAAATATCACTTGCCAGCAGTAAGCTGCCCATAGAAGTTTTGAAGGGCTTGTACTTTCAGACTTATGTACGAAAGTTGAGACAAATGATACCTTCTCACTGATTAAAGTCAGTAATCAGATTCATTACATACTGCTTGACTCATGTATTATTTCTAGGTTATACTTTACATGGTTATTAACATATAGTGTAAATTGCTGCTTGTTTGAAATTATAAAAGTATCTATTACAATAAATGCTGATAAATATCACAAACAAAATGTTTATTCAAAGACTGTTTGATACAAACCAGTTTTCTTACCTTCTATCTTTGTTGGACTTGTTGTAAAGTTGGAATCACATTCAGAAATTTGTTCTGTATGAAAAAAAATATAGATAAATTTATACCTTAATATTATATACAACATAGAAAATTAATTATAATGTTTGAACAGTATGTATACTAAACTGCAAGCAAAACAGAAAAATAGAACAAGTCACACAGTGTAAAAAAGTACATGGCAACTGTTTTCGAAATTTAAGAGGTATGTTGAAAAGTTTCATATTTTTTCTATACGAAACAAAACAAGAACAATCATGGCAAAGCCTGGAATGTAGCTGTAAAAGTCATTCAGTAATAAGGTCTTTAAGTTTGCTCCTTCATCAAATACTAGTAACAATCTTTATTAACTGTTTAAAAAAAAGACATTTGTTACTTTTTGAAATAGGAACACAGATTTTTAGCATATTACTTCTTGGAAAGTCCACAAAGTTGCAAACACTATTATACTTATTGCTACACTAATGTTTTGTGAATATTTAAAAAAGATAAGAGAAATGATTATATTTTGTTAACGAATCACTATATATACAATATGACCTGTTAACTCTCTACTTGTATTTTTAAACGTTATATCATTAAATATACATTAATTAAAATATGACCATATATCAATCAGTATATTATTTTTTGCTGTGACGAGCATTAAATGGATTTAAATATCAAACAGTCAAATGTAACAACTTAGTAGTTAAATGAGTATCCAAAGATTACATCCACTGAGAGACAACACTGCTGCACTTGTTTAAAATAAAACGTGCATAAGAGAAATCTCATACGATTTTGGAAACAGAGCTTCCCTTGTTTTGCTATAAAATCCAGAAGTCAAACATATCATCAGAAGAAACAATGTAACATTGTGAAATCGAATGAATTGTTTGTGGACACTTTCTATATTCATAATTAGGTACAATATCTCGTAAAACATATAGAATTCTGAATTAATTCTATTCCTGATGTAATAAATCCCTAATTACTGTTATTCATGATTGTGCTTTTACAATTTATTAGTGATGTTGTAAACTATCTATGATGCTTAAAGTCTCCATAGACTAATACATTTGGCTTACCTAATTCTGGGAGGACAAGTCGACATGGTAGAGACATAGGTGTGACGGAGTATTGGTAAACCAAGGCTGATAAAGTGCCTGAGGAAAATGAAGACATATATACATCATACTTGTAAGTAAAACTTCATATTGTTTTAATATACATTAGTTAACCAATAAGCACATATCAATAGGAAGTTTCTGCTATTATAAACATATTAATATAAATATTAATTAGCTAAATGTAATAATTTAATGACAAGCCATGGAGTTAGATTAGCATCCCAAGATTACAACTACTAGATGATAGCACTGCTGCACATTTAAAATAATAATTGTGTAAGAGAAATCAAAAAGACTTTACAAACAGACCTGTCCTTTTTTGCTAGAACAATTAAATTCATCATCAAGTTTCCATAAGTGAAATGGATTTATTCTTGTGTTCTTAATTAGAGGAAAACTGGAACTTATTAAGCTGTAATATATTCTATTTTATAATAAGGTAAGTAATGAAATTCAATGAAATAGTTAAAAACAAATTATAAATCTTATGTATAAAACCATTTTCTTATGCATAAGTGTTGGTAAATTATGTTGAAAGTTTAAAAATATAGATGCATATTTTCTGGTAGAAGATGTGTGGTTTTAAGGCAGTAGTTATCAAGGTCAAGAAACAAATGTAATACTTAAAACTAAAAAATGTTTGCAGTAACAGATTTTCACAACTCTTTTTAATACTTATCTTTATTTACACATGACTGTTCTTAAGTCCTGTTTTATGTTGAAAATCTAGTTCTTTTTTTAACAGTTTATGTATAAAGTGCATTTATTTTGACTATGTTTTAAAGCTGGAACTATTACAGAATGATAGGCACCTTTGGTTTGTACAGATCTTTTTAAATGTGTCTTTGTTTTGACAAGTTTTAAGTAATATTATTTTGTGGAAGATTTGACACCTTTGCTATCTTTTCGTTCTGTTAAAAAATATTTTTGTTTTGACTAAGTTTTGTGTACTGTTACTGTGTTAAAAATTCTGAGACATTTTTTTTTGCCTTCTGATTCACTTACAACATGCCTTTGTTTTAACCAGTTTTGAAAAGTTATTGTCAGAAATACAATCATTTTCTATTAAGCTTTCCACCAATAATACAATATTTGTATCTTACTAATACAAACAGGGTTGGAATTAGGTAAAAACATTTGGAACATAATATTTCCCATTACATTTTGCTTAAGTGATTGTATAAACATTACAGTTACTTATTTGATATTAATGCTTGTTTAAGACAAACACAGTTACATAGGCAATTTCTCTCATCATGTTTGCCCCCCAGTGGCACAGCAGTATGTCTGAGGACTTACAATGCTAGAAACTGGGTTTCAATACCCATGATGGGCAGAGCACAGATAGCCCTTGTGTAGCTTTGTGCATAATTAAAAACAAACAAACAAACTCATCATGTTTAATACTGATTTTTGTAACCTGTACAAAATAATACCAAACAAAAATTAATTTTTTGTTTTACAGAGTTTTGAGGATAAAGTATTGTTACGTCTCCGTTTGTTAATTAACTTTCCGTAACTTCGTTCCGAAAAAACTTTAGCGACACAAGTCCTTACTTAATAAAACTGGTTTATTCTTTCTGAATATAACTTCATGATACACTTATTTTCAACAGTTGCTCTTTTACAAACGTTTTAACAACGAACGTTAACTTCAACAATACGTCTCTCTCTGACTGCAGTTCAATTACTCATTACCTATACACACATTACCTTACCGTCACGTTGTCACCCTCTTTTATATACCAGCCTACCCTATATCTAGTAAATGCTAGAGCATTCGCCAAAGTACAGGATAATTCTAGAAAGTAGAGGGCGTAATAATAGTCACGTGATCTCGATGACGCAACAGTATGGTTATCAAGACATGGCTATATTAACTTAAACAAATAAATATAGATATCAATTTTTTTTTCAAATTTCAAACGGCCCGGCATGGCCAGGTGGACAAGGCGCTCGACTCACAATCTGAGGGTCGCGGGTTCGAATACATGACTACAGTGACGGACTCGCTGACGCAACAATACTTTTAGAAACTTCTTTCCAAGCATTATTTAACAATGTCAGATTTTTATGCACTTAACAGAGAAGGTCGAGCCCCTGTGTCAACCAATAACTGACAAGCTATACCCTTATTTTTCTACTAAAACTACTAGTGGCACTTCATTATCACTAATCTTATTTCAAACTGCCAGAACTACCCCTACTTTTATTCCATAATCCCAGCAGGAATTACGATTTTTGATTCTACAGTAAATGTAGAGCTACTGTTATTTCTAGGGAACTTCCTTCTGAAAGTCCCAGCCTTTGGGGCTTTTCCATTCTCTACTTTTGGCAGGAATCTGCAATTTCTGGCTATATGGCCTTTGATTCCACAATTAGAACATGCTACCTGCTCATTTCTTTTATGTTTCTGAAAATAGTTTTTCACCATTGGGCTTATTCTGTTTGTTTTATCATTTCTGTTACTGCTTACTATATTTATAGTAGAATGCTGGGGCTTGTAGATCTGTTTTTTGTGTAACTCCTCTCAATTACTTCAATTAAATCCAGTAAAGTCACATCAGGTGTGTTTGCTTGGTTTACTTTCTTTTGACCTGACTCATAATCTGATTTTAATTAGCTCATTCAAGTGTCTATAAGCACTGCTCAGTCTGTTATCTAATTCTTGTAGCTTATGCCCAAATACTCTGACTGACTCCTCTCTCTGCTGAATCAAGCTATGTATCTGCATCAGAATTGTGTTGGATGTTTCTCACTTTTTATACTCCTATACTAATCTGTGTGCTAAATATTGAAAATCTGCAGTTTCTCACAGTTCATCATAAGCTCTAATCTAATGCTTAGCTTCTGCTGTCCTCAGTGTCTGACATTTGAGCATCAGTGCACCCCGAAATTCTAGCATCCTATTCTATTCTAGTGTCTATGCCAGCAGTAGCCATTTCTATTAACTTATCCTAAAACTAACTTATTTCTACTCTTTCTTTATTCCAACCAACCTGTTGTTAGTTGCTCCAAAATTCTTGTCGACCACACCAATTTGTAACAAGAGGCCATGTAGGCTAGTCATTTGGAGTTCAACTTTAAATCCAGTTACAAATATATTTTTTTATATCCAAGTATGTAGTCCCAAGTGGCGTACACAAGTTACCAACTCGAGGAAGTGTACAATTAGGATAAAGAATTGACTCAGAGACTGAGATTCAAAAACACATATAATACTTTAATGCAAATGCTTAAGATACTCAACTACATCAAGATTACTGAAAGTATATTGGAAAGCTGCAAAACTAAAGTTAATAAATTCTTCAATCTAATCAGGTAACTGTTCTTCAATTAAACTTTCAATAATACTCATTAAATTCCTTAATACAACCAACAGATTATCAATTATAACATTAAGTGAAATATGCTCCAATTTAATTTACTTTATGAGTTCTCCTTAACATTTTACATCAATTTCCTAACTACATTATTTGAATGAGAGAGGTAGCATTGATTACTTATATGGAGTTTTAACAGTGGATATTTTTGATATTCTGCAAGACTGACATTTTCATTGGTGGTATTGGTTAAGGAACTGTTGGATCTGGAAACATTTATCTCTTAGAAGATTTTGTTTAGAAAACTGTTAAACTAGCAGCAAGACTACTGGCTTCCTGGATATTGTTGTAGAACTTACTTTTTAGCCAAAAACATGACTTTTTATACACAATTTCATGTATTGTTACTATGATTCAAGTAGTTTTTTATCAATCAAAAACCAAAACTATCTGTTAATTGGTTATGGTCAAGAGCTGTAAATCAGCCACATGTTTGCATGTATTTCTCCTCAGCTTCTTTTCGATCAACAACTATCTGTTAATTGGTTATGGTCAAGAGCTGTAAATCAGCCACCTATTTGCATGTATTTCTCCTCGGCTTCTTTTCTATCAAAGTTCTGACAGTGGCCGTTTATTTCATTTTCATAGAACTTACTTCCTGCTATTAACCAAGTTAACATAAAATTTTTTGTAGCTTTCCTTCTACTAATAATAATTTCTGTTTATGTAGATAAGATAAACAGTTGTTCCACATTACAGCCTGGAATACATCTTAGTTTGTACTGGGCATATACATTTCCTTTCTTGGTCAAGCATCATTATGTAACTTCTCTTAAGCATTCAATAATGTGCAAATCTTTTCTTCACATGCCACATGTCACATGCCTCAAAATGCTGCAAATGCTTCACTGACATAAGGCACTAACATATAGTTAACATTTTATTAACATATAAGAAAATAGAAATATGAAACTAATTTGGAGGATCTATTTTGGGTGCCAATTTTTCTAAAAACATTCATTTTGGTTGTTTTCATTATTTTGGTAAAGTACAATTTTGTTACGTCTCTGTTCGTTTGTTAATTTTTTGTAAAAATTCTTTCCAAAGAAACTTTAGCGATACAAGTCCTTTCTTAAATAAAACTAGTTTATTC